TGCAATATCTCTGGACCTCACGTATCTCTTGCAGGCTTTGTCATAAGAGACTGATGGAAAAAGAGGTGGTGGTGGAGATATATGGATACACGCTTGAACAGGAGCATGACTTTCCATGCTTGGTTTTCTCAGGAAGTCAGGCAAAAAAAAACTCAACAAAAACAAACAAACAAACAAAAAAAAACCAAACCCAGCAAAAAAACTCAAAAAAACCACCAAAACCCCACAAAAAAACTACCAACCAACCAACCAACCAACCAAAAAAAATTCCAAAACAAAACACACACACCCCCACAAGCAAACAAACAAACACCAGAAGAATAACAAAAAAAAACAAAGCCAAAGTGGTTTAAGATTTTTTTCCTTTTTTAACTTGCATGAAAATCTTCAGACTAAAGAAGAAAGACAGGAACTTGATCTTTGGACCTTCCTCCTAAGGGTCGCCATGGAGTTACTAGCATTTACTAGCCTGCTACAAGCTGTCAGAGTAAATTGACCATGTGGATTATATTTATTACTTTAGCATTTAATGAAAGTGATAACAAGCTTTGTATCACTGGATAGACCCTTGTTGACATTCTTAAGTATCAAAATACAGCATATTTATCATTCTGAAAAAAGAAAAGGGTAGCTAACATGTTAGATGTTCTGCTATGACATGAATTTCTCTTAGTCCTTAAAAACTGCAGTAAATAGAAATAGTCCTAGCAACAACACTGATATAAACACAAATGTGTTTCCTGAAAAGCAGGAAGCAGCTTAACAATCATATCATATGACTAGCTAAATACAGAAGAACCTTGCTGGGTTTTTTCCAGGGCATTAAAGCAAATTTCCATGTGACTTTGTGGGACATGACTGTTGCTTGAGTTGCTATTGCTGGAAAATCATTTTACTCTGCAGCATGGGCACCTCATACATTTCGTCCTGCCTTGAGAAGTTCATCATCTCGTAGGAATCCATTTCTGTTTAGCCTGTGCATGAGCAATGAGTACGTGAGAAAGGCTGAAGAAAGAACACTGAAAGCTCTGCAACCCCACGTGGCCCCATCAGTTTGTCTTGCCTACGAATGTGCACAGCTGTTTCAAGGCCACTGGGTCTGGCACAAGAGCAATACGAGTATTTCATCTGCTGTTACTCTCTGATACATTATTAGTTCTGACTAACAGGAAAAAAGAACCACATGGAGTCTGCCCATCACACTGAAGCACCGAAGAGTTGTGTAGTGGAAATGAACTGGGCTTTTCCCACTTAGAAATGGCAGACTAATCCAGACTTGGCCTAGCATTCAGATCTTCCTAATCCATGTCCTGTCTATCATAAATGGTCATGCCAGTCCCTAAAACGCAAACATTGACCTCTTCTAGTATTTAGCCTTTTGCTTCCACTCCTGAGAGCAACAGATACCTCAAGAATATAAGTCATGTAAACTGATTGTCTGGAGCATGAGTTTGCAAACTTGAGCTGATAGTTTGTAGCTATTGTGACATTTTACTAATTTTTCAGGTTAAATACATGAATTTATTTTTTTAACAACAGAAGTTAAGTTAAAATTGCCAAAGGAAGTTAAAAAGGAAAACCAATCCAAAGAGTAAATCTGCAAGTGAAATCTTTAGAAAACTCTCTTCCTATTTTTTGCTTGGTGAAAAAAGCAATACTTTATGTATTAAATTAACCTATGAAGTGAGTGAGAAGTAAAAAAAATACTATGAGTTACGAAGGTTAGGGGTCAATATATATTATAGGTATCTGAGAGAGTGAAATATAACAAGTGAAAATCCTTTGTATAGAATTTACAGTGTGTTTTTGCATTAATCTATTTATAGAATGAATCTAATGGACTCAGTCAGATGAAGCACCTGGAGAGAAATCTTTAAAGATACTTACGTGCCTTACAATTTCCAAGAGGTGTTTAGCGGTGTTTTAAAATACATCCAGAAGTAATCCATAGCAGTTTAGTAGGATTTTGAAACATCTAAGTGCCTTTAAAATCTTAGGCCAAGTTTGTGGAGAATTAAGGAGAATGTGCAGGAGAATGACACAGTTTATAATGGCACCTCCATCTCCTAAGTCAGGTGAACTACTGAGTAGACACCAGCAGGGATGAAAAGGATTTGAAGGCATGTTTACATTCAGTGACCAAAAAATGTTGCTTCTTTCAGATTACTGGCAGTAAAATATGGAGAAGCTGCAAGTTGATTCAGGTCTGACTGAAAATTAGAAGTTGTTTTACGAACCATAAAATTTGTATATGTGAGATGCAAATTTGTTGGGTAAGCTGTTGCTCACCTTCATCACCCACATGGTTCCATAGTCTTACATATACTATAGTGTGTTACTTTTTATGTGTGGGAAACTGGATGAAGTTTTGGCCTTTAAATGTTGTTTAATTGACTGCTGCTCCCAAATAGTAGACAAACCTAAGATGATAGGCAGTGGCAGTGCAACCATGGATCACTGTACAGACAGGAGTTACTGCCTGCAGTGGTATGGGAATATTTAGGAGAAGGAGGGGAAGAGCACCTTTGGGATTGTACAAGATGACTTATGGGGTGTTTAAAGCAGGAATCAAAGGTGGGAAAAAGGGGCAGTAAAGGTGGTTTGATATAGAAAAAATAAGAAGATACAGGGCTAAAATGACCTGGTTGGGTGTAAACAGGTTGTCTTGTCTGTATGCTTGTCTGGCTACGCCTTGCACCTGATCACCTCAGTCTGTTTTCTTTTACTAAAATATACTTTGGTTATTTTTCTGGGTGAAAGTGGCATCTATATTCCATGTGTATGTGTGTGCATGGTGGTTTGAGTGTCAGCAATCAAAGGAGAAGGCCACAAGTCACAGGGGCTTTTGTGTTTTTCATGAAGCAACTGGAGAGACCAGAGTGCCCATATGTTATGTGCATCCCTACATCAGTGTGTTGTCACTAGCAAACACCAAGCCAGCCTAGGTGGGAATTAAGTTTTGGAGCAGCCATAAGTCCGGGAAAGATAGTGAAGAGACAAGAGGATCTGTGAGGGGGCTACTGGAGAGACAAGGGGGTCCAAACCACCTACTGAGGAGACTTTGGTGGGGTCAGGTACAGGTAAGGTCACAAATCTGGACCAGCTACCTGAGAAACTTGTTTGCCTGTTTGTGCCTCTGTGTGAGGTAACTGAGTATCCAGAGGTCAGCCAGTGAACAGGCTGTGTCCTAAGACCAGCTGCTGGAGGAGGGAGCCATAGGTTGTTGTGCATGTATTTAGGTCTGAATACCAGCAACTGGGATGGAACTATGGACTTTTGGGATAACATTTCCAGGTGCCAGCAGCTGGGAAGACTTGGGATCCAGGGGTTAGCTACTGAATAAGAAGAATGTCTAAGATCAGCTACTGAAGGGATCCATATTGTGTTTTCTGCCTTTGTGGACATCCACGTATGTATGTGTACGTGTGTGTGAGGGGTGCGCGTGCATGTGCATGTCCCTATCAGGAACACACACTCAGGCTTACCACTAGCAAGATCTGGGAACCAACCGAATTTTAAAAACTGGCATTCCATCAAAAATGATTGCAACAGGAGAGTTGATGACAAGTACAAACAGTAAATGGTAGGATTTGCAAAGCGTGGGGAAAGCCAGGCCTGGAGGGCATATTCAAGGACAGACATATAGATTCAGGCAAAGTCCAAGACAATCTCACTAATCAGGCTGCTGAATAATGACTTGTTCGTGGATCTCTTCCAGAAATGCAGATCACACAGAGAAGGACAGTTCAGCGGAGAAGGTAGCACATAGTGTCCAGTCCTCTGCTGGTGGATGCTTGCAAGGCAAATGTGCTGATCCTCCAGCTGCTTCACTGATGTCAGAAAGCCATTTGACTCAGCCTAGCATGATGGTTGTGGGCTACTCAGAGGTAATTTGCTAGAAGCTGCTAGCCCTGCTGAAAAACATTTATGGAAAGGCAAAGTTGGAGCCCAGAGCACACAGTCTAGCTGACATTGGTCATGTCACACCAACATAAGGGCAGACAGGTAGGAGGTGCCTCTGAAAATACAGATTTGGGGTTATTTGAAGGTAATATATTGATTGGCGGTGGCTTCCTTGACTATGTTCAAGTTGTATAGACTACCCAAGATTGTTCTCCAAAAGACCCCAGCTGGGCCACCTTTGATCGTGTGGATAAGGAAGTTTTATAACTCTGGCCTAAGGGCTGCTCTTGCACAACAGCAGAGACTAGGTCAGACAGTTAAGATGTGCATGGACAGATGAATGCCTCCCACCAGGGCTATATATTGGAATAGGCTATATAGATAATGGCATCCCATGGAAGAGTCACTCTGGCATCAAAGCAGGCATCCTATACCTGGGAAACCATGCAACAGTTATAAAAAGGGATCATAAAGCAGATTCAGCAGCTGTGGGAACTTGTTTCCTCTCTGGAGGAGAAAGAAAATCTCCTTTTTCACTAAAAATGAAGCTATTTAAATCATGCATATCCCAGGGCATGCTCCGCATTGTGGTGACAAGAGCTTTCAGCAAAGTTGCTCTGCGGTGACTGCTTGTCATCCCAGCTAGAATTTTCAGGCAGCAGTTTATCTTGCTGGCAAAACCACGTCGGAAAAGAGCCGTGCAAAGAAGATGGCCCTTGGCAAGGCACGGAGAAGGCCCACCCATTCCTTTGGACGCTGCCCCGTCAGCGAAGGCTGCGATCTGCCCAAGGAACGACCGGAGAAGGCGGCGATGTCCGCCTGCAGGGCGGGGCTCCCGAGGGGGATGCGGAGGATGCCGGACCCACGTTTGCCAAACTGGGTTTGGGTGAGCAGCAGATTATGGGGCAGGAGGACCCCCCGGGACCCCCACTGCCGATGGGGACAAAGCGAGCGGCTGGTGTCACGCGGCGGGTGCCGTCACCGCCCCTGTCCCTGTCCCGGCGAGGGACCGAGGGCGGTCCCGGCCGGGGCGGCCGCTGGGAGAGCGGCGGGGGGGTGCGGGGAGCCCATAAAGCACCGCCCGGTGGGCCGGCACCGAGCACTGCCGGGCTGGGCGGCGGGACGGGACAGCGGGAGCGCGGCTGGGAGAGCTGGGGGTACAGCCATGAGGGAGATCGTGCACATCCAGGCGGGACAGTGTGGAAACCAGATCGGGACCAAGGTGAGCCTGAAGGGGACCCGCTGGCTGCCCGCTCTTGGCGGAGCCTCTGAGCGCCCGGTCATTCCTCGGGGCTGTGGGACTCCTCAAGGAGGGGGACTGGGCTGGGCTGGGCTGGGCTGGGCTGTGCCCCTCGCCGCCCCCTCGCCCCTCCGGGCCGCCTGTGCCCCGAGCGATCCGCTGCCGAGCTGCGCCGGACGCGCCCGGGGCACCGCGCATCGCACCGCTCCCTGTGACCATAAAAGGCTTTGGGAAGTGCCCAAACCAAATGGGACCTCTTTTTAAAATTATTTTTAAAATTATTTTTGCGTTGAAACCGTCCAGGCTGCGGTTCAGAAGCGGGGGGAGCGGGGGGGCGACACAGCCCGAGCGGCCCCGGGGAGCGCTGAGGCGGCGCAGCCCGCCCGGGCGGGGAGCGGGGCGGCCGCCGCTGCTCCGTTGGATTTGAATTCTGGTGCCTGCCCCGCTCCCGCTCCCGCTGCAGGCGCGGGCAGGGTGGGGCGGCGGGCACGCCTGGAATCCGGCAGCTGCCGCAGGGCCGCCGCCCACCCGGGTGCTGGGCAGGGCCCCCAGTGCTCCGCAGGGGAGTTCCCAACCCGCTTCTCGCTTTTCCTCCCTTAGTTTTGGGAAGTAATAAGTGATGAGCATGGCATTGACCCAGCCGGAGGCTATGTCGGTGACTCAGCGCTGCAGCTGGAAAGGATCAATGTCTACTACAATGAATCATCTTGTAAGTGTGGGACGGGGAGGGGAGCGGGACAGAGGACTCCGTGGGAAGGGGCACAGGAGTCTGGGAGAAAACTGCACATCTGGCCGCCCTCCTTGCATGCCATTAGGCCCCTTAGCTGTGCCCGGCTCAACCCACTATGCACAGAAAATATTGCCTACTTTCTTACAAAGTTATCTCCCCAGACAGAGAGAATTGGCACAAGGGGCTTCCTTGGGGTCTGAAGGTGGACATTTGTTTTTTATTTAGCGCAGCAGTAGGTGTTTGCTCTTCTAACACATGATTACTTCATCAGATGCATCGTGTCAATTACCTCAAATTAAACAGTTGGTTGTATAAGCCTGCACCTGTAGTACTCTAATTTCATGAATGAGAGGGTTGGGTCACAGGTAATAGAGAACTGAACAGTAATTCATTAATAGGATGCCAAAGGCGTCCAAATCCCCTGAGTCAGTCTGGTGTTGGAAGGTGTTAACAGTGTAAAATGGAGATCTTGAGTCCTTTGGTCTATTGACATGAACTTGCAAGTGTGAATGTTTCATCTTTTGTCCTGCTTATGTTAATTCATATTATTTAACTGAGTTTGAATGATTTCAATTTGATACGGATGTTTTATTTTGTGCTTTGTGGTAGATACGCTGTTTACGCCATGTACACCAAGTAGCCCTTTCAGTGGAGGAGAATCCTTCAAGCATTAAAGCTTGTGAGATGTATTAGGATCATTTGACCATAAGCACTTTACTCCCCCTGTTATTCACAGAAAAGATTACCTACTTGGTTATAAAGAACGTGTAAACCATTTTTTTCTAATCAGAAACTTCCCTCCCTCATATCTATTGCTAATAAAGAGCTTACAGAATGTTATATACCATCTATAGAACCCAAAAGATGTCAGTTCTGTTTTTCAAGCTGAATTGATTTGTTCCCAGAGTACAGGGTTTTTCACCACCATGACTTTCTGTATAGGAAGTACTTATATATGTATGAACTATGTATTAGAGTAACAGTATGAGACATATTTCTGTGTTAAGGGCTATAACTGTGTCAGAGCATTAAGGGCATGCTTACTTTTTGTTGTAGCCCAGAAATTTGTACCGAGAGCAGTCTTGGTGGACTTGGAGCCAGGAACCATGGATAGTGTACGATCTGGTCCTTTTGGTCAGCTCTTTCGGCCCGATAATTTCATCTTTGGTAGGTGGATGTTACTTTTTAAAAAACAAAACTCTTTTTTTGTAAAAAACAAAGCAGCTGTTTGATTAGCAAGTGAATGGTCACAAAGCACTTAATCTCTCTGTTCCAAAGTGATCTCACTGAGAAATCCTAATAGCTAACAATGCGATTGAAGTTATCTGTTAGTCAGTCAAAAGATCCCGTTAACTGAAAAAGTCATTCTTCTGTTAATCATTCCTTCAATTAGTGAACTGCTGAAAGTTTCTTATGGTATTCAGATAAAGTACATTTGCTTTCCATATTTGTGAACTCCAGAGAAATCCTGAGGCCACTTCTTTGCAACAAAATGCATGGAAATTCTGCAGAAAAATGGCAGGGGGAGGGAAAACCTCAACCACAAACCAACCAGACTACTCTTCACTTGAATTCATATTAAATCCTTGAGCATTGAATTGCTTTTAGGCTGTGTAATTAAACTTTTTCAGTAGATCCTTACAGTATAGTAATAGTGGAAGAAGAACAACTGTAACATGGAAAACACTGTCATGTCATTACTGGGTTATTTTCCAGCATAATGAGGAACAGTCTGAGAGTATGTGGAGAACTGGTTTTGCAGTGTTCTTGCAGAGGGTTGGTTTTGCCTTTACTGTTCTACTTTGTAATTCTGTGGTACTTTTCATCTAAGCTTAAAAATGCACATTACCCTTTCTGAGCAGCCTTATGAAGTACAGAAGCATTATCAGTTCCTTTGCACTAAAGGAGAAACAGCATGTGGAAGTTAAGTGATCCTGAAATAGGAAGTCTGAATGAAAGCTACCATGAGAACTCTCGTGTCCTTTTGGTTTCCAAGTCTGCACTAGCCACAAACATTTCCTTCTGACAAGGCAAGCTTAGGTTGGAACTTAGTTTGGTATATCGTGTCAACATAAGGAAGGAACAATGCCAGGGACGGACAGAGAAAGGATAAACATTATTTGGGTGGTATAAAACAAACTTAAGTCTGGGTTGTTGCTGGTGAGGTGGGAAGTAAAGAAGCCATACAGAGTCCCTCTAAGTCTTTGACTTAAAACTTTTAGTGTTCTATTGAACGTTGTTCTCCTGTAAATTCCATGGCAGTGACGTTAAGGGTCTCTTCCAAAGGCTCTCTGTTACAACATGTAGAATTAAGCTTAGGGAGAAAAGCCATAGCTCTAGTCAGCTTTATGAAGTATGTTTCTGGATTCAGGTTTCTCCTTTCATTCCCTTTCCCCTGCATGGACCACACAAGCCCTCTGAAAGTGAATTCACCTGACCTATGAAAATACTTGAACTGAAGCTTTACAGTTTGGCACACCACCAGTAAAACCAGAGCCAAATCAATGCAGAATGTCTTCAACAATAGTCCTGTTAACTGTACTCCCTTCCTGCCAAGATAACAATGAACCAACAGCATGTGATCAACTCGTATCTGACAGAGGCCCCTGCCAGCATCAGGCACTGTCCTCCCAACCTGCTGAATAATGTAGAATGGCTGAGCGCTGAAGTAATGATCTTCTGTGTTAAAAGCCAACAAAGCATTTTGTTTTCTCTTTTAAAAATCTGGCCTGGGCCCACAAAGGATTTTGTGGCAGAAGCTGGCAGTCCTATACTTGCTGTACCCCAGGCTGTTGGGGTTCATTCTGATGGAGATGTTTTCCACCTCTGCAAGTAACCATGGACCATCAGTCAGGATTTCATGCAGGTATACTGAGTATGTGATCACATATTCGAGTTATGGGAATTTATCTCAGACCAGCAGGAGATTTGAGATGGATACAAAACGGTCCTTATACTTTAATGCTTATGTTGACAAAGTAGTGATCTGAAAAGTGAAGGAGCACAGATGGAATGATCTTGCTGTATGAGAGCAGTAGATCTCCTGGCCTTCTGACAGCATACAGTTGCCCACCAGGAACTGCTCTGAATGCTTGTGTATCTCCTCTCGTTAACCAGTTTTCATTTGTACATTTTAACATTTGTCTTTCTTGTGTACGACCTTGCTAGATTTGCTACATAAATACCATTTGAATTTAAGTTGTATGAACTGGTGGGAGCAACCACAAAATGGCTCTCAGGCAGTCACAGGCGAGTTCTGCAGCAAGGCTGTTCACAGTAGGCTTCTAAGCATTAGTGTGCAAACTACTGCTCTTTCTTAGCAGGTTTGTCTCCTATTTCAAGCAGTGAAGAGAGGAAAGGAGTGAGGGATTAAAAAACCAATTGGCTGTTCACAAATGGCTTCTCTGCATGTGCAGCTTAACCTGAATGTCTTTGATAACCCTACAGTGTGCTGTAAAAAGAAAGTGATAGAAGGATCTGGAAGCGCCAAGAGGGCAGATAAGTTGTGGGGTTGCTTCGTGCAGGCTTCTTTAGATCCTGGCAAACGTACAGTGAGAAATGACAGAGGCAGTACACTAGAGATGGGCCGCATACAACACAGAGCTTCCAAGACTGCCAAAGGTTTCGCCAAGTCCCGAGTTTTGTGAACGCAGGCTCCTTTCCCACCTAGAGAGTTTAGTCCTGCTGGAACTTCATAATTTTTGTGTAGGATTTTCAGAGGTCAGTTAGGTAGGCACCTGATAAGTGGAGGCCATCCAGTAGAGTTTTGTGGGATCACAGTCAAGATTTCTGGGTGTGTGGCAGTCTTGGCACCTCCAGACTGCACTGTGTTGTCATGGATAAGAAGTCTGGAGCTCCCAGGGCTTATTTTACATTTTGCTTGTAGTGGTAGTGTGGTCTTACAGTGTTGTAGAGCTAGTGGGTGTGGAAATATAAGATTACTGGGTATAAACAGCAGGAAATCTCCAATGAAAATGTCAGAGACCCTAGGCACGTGGCTGACTGGTGGAAGAAGTGCAGTGTTATCACAGTGGTAGCCAGTAGAGAGAGGGCTGGAGGGAAGCCATTAGTTTTGGTGTAGGCAGCCACTGGTGCAGTTCCATGATGCAGTTTAGATACAGAGCTTGTGCTAGTGCAGTAGAGAGAGGTGGTATGGTAGTAGTTGTGTGGGCATGGAATTTGTGTCATGCAGAGTAAAACTGAGGGAGTCTAGTACACTGGAGGACAGGTCCACCTCTGTGTTAGTCATGCTACCTTCTAAATTTTGCAGACTTAATCTGCAAACAGAGCAAAAGCAAGTAAAATCAGTTTTTACTGGTTTTTTTTTCCCATGAAAATAAAATTTTCCCGTTTGTTAGAGTAATTACCCTTCTCTTATCTTGTGTTTTGTTCCTATTCCCTACTTCTTATCTTGCTGCGCACTGAGGAAGGGCCACACATTGTTTACACAAGGGGCAACCTATAAGATAAAGTCCTAAACTCAGAAGGATCTTAACAGAGCTAAATTCTGTATTTTGGAGTGATGTCTGCTTGTTTGTGTGCATCCTGACATGCTGCCCTATCTGTAGTAGGGGATCTGCTCAAATGGTTACAAACATATTTAATTCTGGGAGGATATTACTGTGTGCTTTGCCCAGCTGGACAGGAAGTGCTGAGCTCCCTGGGCTCAAAGAGAGAAAAATATAGCAGCATACAGAACAATGCATTAACTAACCAAATGCACCATGAGGAAACCAGGCATTTATGCAGTGAAAATAAAGTGCGTAATATTTAAAAAATATCCCAGCCAGCAGTTTCCCTGGTTGATGTGTTTGGCACCAACACAGTGCACTGGGAATTGAAATGAGACATGGTAATAGGAAGGGAGGGGAAGGTCTTGGAGAACAACTCAGAATTTGTCAGCTATGCACTTGATTCTGAAACTGCTGTTCTTCCTGAATACCACTCACAGGAGTAAACTGAGTTCAGAGCCACAGTGTATGTATATAGTAGTCACTGTGAGGAACAAGAGTGTTAAAAAACTGATCCCCCACTTAATCCTCCTTGTTACTTAAGTAATACCAAAATGGTGGCATAGCAAATGATCTGGACTGTTCATCTTAATAAACTGAGTGGCAGACAAAATGAAAATAGCCTTGTGGAAGAAAAGAAGAGGTTTATGAAATATCAGTAATCCAGTTTTGCAAGTTGCTTTGCACGTCCTGAAGAACGGGGAGTTTGTAAGAAACCAGTAAAACCTAAAAGACACTTAACTTCCAAGTTTTTGAAATAATGGTCTTGAAGCTTCTTTTGATCAGTATTTTCATTCAGGAAATTAAAAAAGCTGTAGTTCCTGATACAGCAAGTTAAATAGGACTTCTGAAGCCCAGCTTCAGAATGACAAAGCTGGCTCTGTGTCTTGTGAGAACAGTCCTATTTCATTTAGAAATATATACCTGTGATTTAGCTTTGTATGCATTGTGGTCCTTACAGACCACATTTTTTAATATTAAACAGTCATCTTGTGTTTACAGAAAAATCAGGATTGGAAGTGTGAAAGCTTTCAAAACAAGGAGTCAAGGCTACCTTTACATATATGGAAGGTAAAATACCAAAAAGGAAGAAAAAATGTCCAAAGGCATAAATGAAAACTACTAGATACTAAAAAAATTATGTTGATACTTCCAGTGTCAACATAATATTTACATATATATATATGTATCAGATATTATGAGACAAAACTGAACAGCACAGTTATCTACCTGACAGATTTATAGCAGCTTTTGTTACAGATATGAACCCATTCAGTGTTCAAATATGAAACCTTACCCATAATTTTGTATATTTTCTTTTCCTGTTGTATGTTATTTTAGGACAAACTGGTGCAGGAAACAACTGGGCTAAAGGACACTATACAGAAGGGGCAGAGTTGGTTGACTCTGTACTTGATGTAGTAAGAAAAGAGTGTGAACACTGTGATTGCTTGCAAGGATTTCAGCTCACTCATTCCCTGGGAGGAGGGACAGGATCTGGCATGGGAACCCTACTCATCAGCAAGATACGAGAGGAATATCCGGACAGGATAATGAATACCTTTAGTGTCATGCCCTCTCCAAAGGTTTCTGATACAGTGGTGGAGCCTTATAACGCTACGCTTTCAGTCCACCAGCTGGTTGAAAATACAGATGAAACCTACTGCATCGACAATGAAGCTTTGTATGACATCTGCTTCCGCACCCTGAAGCTCACCACTCCCACATACGGTGATTTAAACCACTTGGTTTCTGCTACCATGAGCGGGGTAACTACATCCCTGCGTTTTCCAGGCCAACTAAACGCTGACCTCCGGAAGCTGGCGGTGAATATGGTCCCCTTCCCACGCCTTCACTTCTTCATGCCAGGCTTCGCTCCTCTGACAGCCCGAGGCAGCCAACAATACCGAGCACTCACCGTGCCGGAGCTCACCCAGCAGATGTTTGATGCCAAGAACATGATGGCAGCCTGTGACCCAAGACACGGCCGATATTTGACGGTGGCCACTGTCTTCCGTGGCCCCATGTCCATGAAGGAGGTTGACGAGCAGATGTTGGCCATCCAGAACAAGAACAGCAGTTACTTTGTGGAGTGGATCCCAAACAATGTCAAGGTGGCGGTGTGTGACATACCTCCCCGTGGCCTCAAGATGGCTTCCACTTTCATTGGCAACAGCACTGCTATTCAAGAGCTCTTCAAAAGGATCTCGGAGCAGTTTTCGGCCATGTTCAGGAGAAAGGCCTTCCTCCACTGGTTCACAGGAGAGGGAATGGATGAAATGGAATTTACAGAAGCAGAAAGCAACATGAATGACCTGGTTTCAGAGTATCAGCAATACCAGGAAGCAACAGCAAATGATGGAGAGGAAGCGTTTGAAGATGATGAGGAAGAGATCAATGAATAAAGAAATTAGGTGTGCAGTTTTTTCCAGTCCAAATTCTCAATTCTTGATTTCTGACAATTAGGCTTGTAAATTCGTATTTATGTTAAAAAGAAAAAAAAAAAAAAAAAAAAGGGAGCATGAATTTCAGGTGTTAGAGGTGCTCCTCAGAGTCCATTGAGATCACTGAGAACATTCAACATTTCTGGAAATCAGGCCATTTCTATTCATGAGACAAATGTAAGGCATTCATTTAAGGCTTTGGCCTAAGAGTCTGAACACAGAGATTGCTAGTTTGGGATATTTTTTTTCCAAACAGGTTGTCATCCCTAAAGCTGTAGAAGAGAAGATGTAAAGTAGGCCTGAAAATCTTCAAATTAGAGCTGTGCTATTTTCATCTATTATGGGTAAGAAAAGCTTGAGGGTTTGAAGCACTTATTCTGTACCAGATGTACAATACTGAACTGCCAGAAACAAAATTTATTCATAATAAAAAGAAGAAAAAGTTTTTTTCATGTTCTGTACAGTAACTGCTGACAGTGATATTTGATTCCAGTACTCTAAAACCAAAATAAAAATAATTAGTATCCTCTCAAGCAGAAGTGTTTTGGGCAGTCAATACTATGTAAATATCCAGTGAACTGCAGGCTAGAAGCTGGATTTGTGACTTCACCACTTGTTGCTGAATAATCACAGATTATATATATGAAATCTATCAGTCTGTGATGTGTTCTTCATGGATCCCCAGGATTTAAAGTGACACCTCGGTATCTTGCTGGTGCCCTGCCTTTCTGGCTATCACCAGTTGCTGGTGCTGTTCCTATCTCTATCCCACCCAGTCCATACAGCTGAATTTCAGATATTCCCCAGATGACAATGGGAGAGGGGACATAGGCTACGTGTCAACAGATCTCACTACCTAGGTTTGTGAGTTCACCACACCTCTAGATGCTGTGCATGTCTTGCTACCAAGATAGGTTAAAATAACTGGACAGATTAAGGTTGAAGTACAAGAGCATTTATCCACAGTATTCAAAGGAGCTGGAAAAATTAAAGATGAACAACAGGTTTATCTGCTCACACTAAAGGCAGACCAGAAAGGTCTCTGCATAAGCCAGCTGACAAAGTGACTGTTGGGCATTCGCTCCTCGTGCACACTTTATGTTTCTGCTCATATCAATTAAACAGCCCTTCTCCATTAGAGAGCCTCCACCAGAGAACACTCTGTCTACATGGAGTCTCTTATTTAGGCCAGTTTCTAGGCAACAGAACAAGCAAACAAAGGAGAAACCCTCTGGAAAGCCAAACTTCAAATGTTTCAGGAACTCTTTGTTTTTTCTTCTTGCCTTCAGAAGCACTTTCCAAGCAAAAAGTGTTGCTCAATACTTTAAAAAGGCACTTTACAAACAGTGTAATTTGTAGAGATACATTGCTCCTGACAACACAATATTATGTTTTGTTAGTTTGGGATTCAGGGAATGACACAGTGTTTTATGAAGTATATGAACCAGGCAACTGTCGTTCACAGGACCTGAAGCTGCCTGCCTAATTCTGTTCCACATAGAAATGGAACTAAATTAGCTTTAATCAAGTACAAGTTTTTCACAGTAACATGAAGTGACTTCAGGGGTTGAGACACAGCTGCTGGAACGTACTGACCAAACTGACTTTGGCATAGTGGTGTAGGCAGAGACTGGTTGATAGTCTTTAGAAGGGTCATAATAGTCAGCAAATTCACAGGGGCCACATTCGTTGCAATGTCTAGTGATGCCTAAAGGATTTGTGAACAGCAATACAACATTTAAATATGCATTTTGTGAATGTGAGATGTGGCTATGTATTAATCGCAGCATGAGATAAACTTATAACGCAATATGCATTAAAGAGAATTAACATGTAGTACCAGTACAAAGCAAAAGCAAAATCCATTGGGAATAAAGCCATTAAACTTCAAACTTTAGTTGATTCTTTGTAAATGGCAGGCTATTGGCTTTGAAAGGGAGGAAAATGCGTTACAGGCTCAGAGCCTGCTATCACACAGCTTTCCAGTTAAAGCACTAGCACAGTTCCAAATGAAGTTCACTTCCAAATGAAATAGAACTAACCACCTTACAGCTTGTGGAACTGCATTTTGTTATAATACAAAATTCATACCTTGGTCCAAGCCATAAATTCTGATAGTACTGTGGGGGGGGGGGGAAAAAAGTTCATACTTTAAAAATGCCAGGAATCTTGGCATTCCTAAATAATTGAGTTGTTATTCACCCGGTGAACCAGCCCGTTCTTTATTGTTTTCCGTACACTTGACACAAAATGCAGAATATACACTCTAAGGCTGTGCAATCCAGACCTAACAATGTCCTCTGATCCTGCTTTGACTCATCCATTTTTTCTTTCATATGTGTTTACTTGCAACTGTTTGGTGTGAATTTCTAGAATGTGTGGAGGTGAAAAAGAAAACTAATGCCCTCTTAGAAAAAAAAAGACAAATCTTCCATCTGATCTTAGGGGGGAAATACCCAAGCCACCAAAGTGAACCCAGGAACCAGTGGTCAGAACATCGTGAGAGGACCAGCTTACTTATAAGCAGTAAGTGAACCATGGGAAGCACAAATGCATCCTGTTCCTCTTCAGTCAACCAACTCCAATAGTCTTCCTTTCCTGACGTACAACTGAAAATCATTTTAGTAACAGGCTTAGTGAACAATTCTTCCAGCTGCCCTTCCTTTCAAATAACTTCCTGCTTTTTCCTTGGAAGCCTCTGATTTTGAAATCTGCATGCTGAGTCTCACCTAGCTTTGTTCCTCTTCTCGCATTCTTCACCTATGTGTTTTTCATTTCTTCTCTGAATTTTCAGCCTAGTCTCTTGCACCTTTTATTTCTGTGGCCTGGCCCACCTTCATTTTCTCTCTTTTTTACTGCCTTGCAGCTGGCCACAGGAAATACCTCGCAGCAGGCTGCCAGGACAAGCCAGGCCTGAGGAAGCCTGGAAGTGCAGCTCTTAGTACTGATGTGGACACCTCTGTCAATGTTGGGATGAGGAATAAAAACGGCAACTTACACCACCTGAAAACAGGGAGTGGGTGAGGTGTTGCACAGAAAGAAGGTGCGGTATCAGGACAGAAACAGGAATCTAACCTGATGGGCCAGCTCCTTTGCAAAGTTGCTCCAGGCAAAGCCAGCAAGGAATTGGGCAGGCCCTTAGCTTTGACATGAGAGCCCATGTGTACTCCACCTTAAACAAGCCACCTTAGGCTCTTCATCTCTCTGCATCCCACAGTTACTGCTCTCCATTCCATTACTTGCACATGGATGGCCTTAGGAAAAGGTGGGTCAGGAAGGAAGAGTCAGGTTGGGAAAGAGGGTCTAGACCTGGTCTCCTTCTCCTGGCACTGGGAGGAACAGGGAACTCGGCAGCTCCCTCTGCACAGCACAAGCCCCTGCTAGTTGAGGCTCAGTGTGTTTGCAACAGAAGCTAATCCAGCATTATTGGCAGCCACAGCACAGACTAAACTTGATTTTCTTGATTTATGTTCAACCACCTGACAAATTTGTGAGGAGGCTAACTGACCTCTTCAGAGAGGCTGGTTGGGTAAACAGAACAGCTTTTTTTTTTTTTTTTTTTTGGTTATTGTTGTTTTTCCATATCCTTGTTTTTTATTCCAAAATCCTAACACTGTCAGATTCTGCAATTTTTGGCCCCAAATATTAAGACCTACTGAGGTAAGGTTAAACAAGGAAATTAATGCTCTAAAATAAAGGAAAGGTAAGGCCACTGTAATTATTAATATATTATTAATAAGCATGCACTTATTAATTGCATGCTGCAACTAAACAAGAGCGGAATTTAAAAGTAGCACAAACAGTAAGTAAGAGAAAACATTTCCTGCAGAGGAGACAATTCTTTCACAGTCTGGTAGTGCCGTTGTGAAGAGTTGGGGTAAGGGTTTTTGGGGTTTGGTTGGTTGGTGGTTGTGTTTTCTGTTGGTTTTATTTAGCAAGGAAAGAAGAAATGCACAATTCTGGCCTTTACTGTGTAAGCACAGCTAGTCCTCAGCACTGGGTACAAACTGCCTATACCAAACAAGAAGTGTTCAGCTAAATTGAGGGAGGGAAAATAGAACAAAGGAGGCACTAATACAGCGTACATGTTAGATACAACCTGGAGCACTCACACAGAAAATCAGTCACTGCTTTACCATGTCTGCAAGGTTTTTTATAAAACAACTATTGCAATAAATCATTCTAAACTTTGACTCCAATAATTAAAGAAATGAAGTTTAGTTTTTTTCAGACCGCTTTTCCTGTTTCTCCTTCATTCTACAACAAACTCAGTAGGGATAAAGAGAAGTGTTTAGCAACTAAAAATGCAAAGTAAATATGCCCCAGATTGCTATATTTGCTGTTTACCTTGCTCCTCTTCTCTGTAAAGCCAGGCAATACCAGAGATGGAAAAAGCTTCATCACGAAGGAAAAGAAAATGCAAAAGAATCATTTCCATAAACAATTTACTTCAAATAACTTGAGCAAAGGCTCTGATCTTTCAGACTTTGTCCTCCTACTGCTTTCTAGTATGTTGCAACATACAGATGGAATCAATCAGTAGTTATCTCCTTAACCTGCCCTCTGACTTGTAAGCCTTAAAGGAGTTCTAGTCCAGCAGAAAAGCTTGGTTCGTTTTCCTTCCCCACTTAACCCCCAACCACACTTCCCTATCTTCTGCTGAGATGGGGAGATAGGTCCTTAATTTTTGAACACCTGAATTCTCCCACTAATGAATCCTTAGCACACAGCAGACAATGAGAAGTAGCTCATTAAGATAACTGCATTCAACTAAGCAGAGGAAAAAGCTTTAGGTTAAGCAAACCAATATGAAACTCTGACAACCTTTGGGTTTGGCTGCTGTT